CGGAGCCCTTCAGGCGAAAGCGCAGGATCGTGACGGCGTGGGTGGCCCCAACAACATGACCCGCAACTGCGGTCTCTGCGATGATGTGCGGGCGCACGAGCACCACGCCCGTGTCTCTGAACAGGGCAACCGTCGCCCAGTAAGGCTCCGCGGTGTTGTTTTTCAAAATGACAGCGTCTTCGACGGCAGTCCTGAGTCCAACGGGAACGTCGTAGCTGCAAGCGCCTTCGACGTTCCCCGTGCGGAACAGCTCGGGGTCCCATACGACGAAGACGACCGCCGCAGTTTGGTGCAAGATGCACCTGAAGACAGCTTCCTTTGTTGCCACCTTCGTGATGACCACCACGTTGAACACCAAAGCGATGGTGGACGGAACCCGATTGCCGTCTGCTGCACGAAGGAATCCTTCGTTCCACTTGGGGCGTTCCCCAACGTAGTTTATCCCTGGAGGGGACCTGGTCCGCTGCTTCTTCCGCGGTGCTCCCGCATCTTCCCGCAACTGCGGTTCCGACGGAGGCCCCGCTCGACCCCGCGACTGCGGTTCTGACAGCGGCGAGTCTTCCGTGGGAGGCGGCCTTTTCCTCGGCCGCGAATCGGCCGAGGCGGTTGTCTCGGCGGCTTTCTCCTGGGAGGCGGCCTCGTCTTCGGGATGGGCGCCTCGTTTGGACTCGGCTGCGAGCAGCACGGCCGAGGGCGCGCTGCTCCCAGATGAGCCGCGCGCGGCACCTGGCTCGCCGGCCACCCCCGCAACTGCGGTCTTGGTGGCGGCTCCCGTCACTGTTGGTTGGTCCTGCTGCTTCGTCGGCGTCTGCGCCCGAGGCCCCCATTTTGCCTTGGGGGTCAAGTGCGCCCTGCGCAACTGCGCCTCTTCGCGCCTCCCACCAGCAGAGCTCCCACTCGCAGCGCTTATCGGCGTCGGCGGCCGATATTCCCGCGAGGAGCTAGACGACTGCGGGGAGGCCTCGCGCGGCGGTCGCTCGGGGCTTCCGCTACTGCGGTCCTCCGTCGGCTCCGCGACTGCGGCATCCGCGGCAGCCCCTTGCAGGCCGAACCTTTCCCGCAGTTGCTGCTTCAGCTCGGCGAACCGCTTGTCGACCTCGGCTTTGCGACCTGGGTCCATGCGTGGCCGCGCGCGGCCCCCGTCCGACGGGGGAACTGCGGCCGGCTTGGGAGAGGAAGGGCAACGAGGGAGACGGCGGGGATGAGGACGAGGAAGGCGAAGAGGAGGATGGAGAGGACGCGACGGAAGAGGATGGCGCGAAGAGCTCAGACGAGGGTGAAAGGAGCAAGGGGACTGCGACGAGGATGACGGGGCAGAAACGGAGGGGGAGGAATCAACAAAGTCCGCAACTGCGGCCCTCGGGGGGGACTGCGACGAGGACGACGGGAAATGACTCGGCCAACGGAGGCGGGCTACGGCCAACGGAAGGAACTGCGACGAGGAGGAAAGGCGGAGGGAGGAGACTGCGACGAGGACGACGGGGAAGGGGCGACGAGGACGACGAACAACTGCGGATCCATCTGTTTCAGTACCTGTCTCCGCAACTGCGGCCGCGCTAATTAACGTCACGAGTGCTTCAACGGAGGTGATGCGCGCCCGAAGCACCTAATTACAGCGGTCAGTCGTGGGAGCGCCGCAACTGCGGCCAAGCTGTATGAAGTCGCTAGAAGGCAGCGCCGCACCTGCGGCCGAAAGCGCGCATAGTGAGTCAAACGAGCGCGGCGTCACGCGATCGGTCCCCGCAACTGCGGTTCCATGGCTGCGCAATCCCGCAACTGCGGTGTCAAGGCTGCGCGGTCCACCGCGGTTGCAGCTGCGCCCCCTTGCTCGCGTCGAACCGCCCAGGATTCGGATGGGCGTGCAGCATCTTCCAGAACGTGAACGTTCCGTGGCCATCGCTCTTGCCGAGACCTGCCCTCGGGCCCCGCACGGGATGCAAGTGCGGCTCCACCTCATACGTGTTGAACTTCGGGCTAGACCAGGATGGGTGGACGCGAATGCCCGAGCCGTCGTCGCGGATGAGGACGAAATCCCACTGGGGCAGAGGATTCTTTGCGCCTGTCCTCTGTCCACCCCTTTCGTGTGCCTCATGTTGTCGAGACTGCTAGGGCACGGGCGGCACTCGCAGCGGACCAACCCGCGACTGCGGTCATTGTCAGGGCCGCACACGACGCGCAGCATTGTAGGTCCATCCATCTGCGCGACCATCACCAGCCAAGACCACGGCACTTTGACAGTGTGGTCCCAGTCCCAATCCCTGTTGTCCTGCGCCTTCCCCTTTGCGCGGTACTTAAGGATCTTCGAAATTTCCTCCGCAACTGCGGTACCTCCGAAGACGGGCGAGCGGCTGCCGAAAGGGTTTTCTCGGTCTTCGTACTCGTCTCGGAACCACTTCAAGGCCGCGTTGTGCTGCTTATAATTGCCGTTCCAGTTCGCCCTGAAGTTCTCGAAGAATTCCAACTTGAAAATTGGCAGCGGCTCATTGCGCACAATTTGAAACAACGCAACTGCGCCTTGTTCTTCGCGCCCTGGGGGAAGCAGGGGACCGCCTCCTTTGCCCGCCGCTGTTGCGGCCGCGGGCTCCGCGGCAGGAGAACCTGCCGAGGCACTCGAGCGGCCGCCTTCCCATGCATTCCACCAGCCACCCTCGTCGTCCCACCAGCGGGCGCCCTCCATTCCCCAACCCTCGCATCCGTTGCCGCCCCATCCGCCGCCCTCCCATCCGCGACTGCGGTCACTTCCGTCGCCGCCATCCTGCGCTTTTCCTCTCCATCCGCAAAGAGAATCTCCGCCGCCCCAGCCGCCACTGCGGTCACCTCCGCCGCCGTATCCGCCACTGCGGCCGCCCCAACCCCCACTTGTTCCCCAACCGCCGCCGCTGCTCTTTGAAGAATCCGCAACT